CCTGCCACTGTTCTTCTTGTCCCTTCTGCGATCTGCCATGTGCCACACAGAGGCTGCCCATGTCACTTGTGGCATGATTGCTACAGGCTGTCTACCCCTGACTTAGTACATGCCCAAGTTTTACCAGAGAGCCTGAATCAATGGCCTGTCTCCAAAACAAGAACTTTGCACTTGTTTAATAAAAAGACCTGATAAGTTTCCTTATCACAGAAAGACAAACAGAAAGGGCAACATGAAAGGCAGAATGGCAGAACAGCTCTAAAAAAAATTTCAATTCAGAGGCCTCAATGAATAAAGGATGCTGTAGCAAAACAATTTAACAGCTGAAGTCCCCTTCTTCTTGTCTGCAAAAAAAAGACGTTTAATCAAAAAGGCAGAGAAAAAAAAAAATCAAGCTCAATTCCAGCAGATCCTGTCAGGAACCTAGTTTTAGCTTTTGAGATATTAAATCTCAGGCGAATTTCTTCAGAACCTCTGGTTATCTATATCTAAGCTATTAACTCCCACTGATACATTGGACCACATTCTTTGCTGCCTATACTTTGTATACTTGGTACCGTCATCTATATCAGTGAAAGATATGAATAAAATGCCACAATTTTCCACAGATGTTAAAGGGCTACCCACTAATAAGAGTCAGGCCTAACTGAATTATTACATCTTATAAAGCAACCAGAAACTAAAATTGAATATATTGCAATTAGAGTTTGACTTCTCACTTCCTCTGTACATAAGCAGGAACAACATAGAGTATGACAAACCCAGCTTCTCTCAAAGTACTCAACTGCTGTACTGGTACTTTGAGATGGAAGGACTGCCTCTGCAAGAGAAAAATCATTCAGTTTCTATGTCCCTTCAATCCTTGGCCTCTGCCAAGACTGCCAACAGGGGATGCAAAGGGCCAAATGTGCTCACTTCATGTACTGACCTCTGCAGTCAGAGTTCCTTTATCTAAAGGTATTTTACATAAATTACTGGACAGAGAACAGGAAATTACAAGTGCATCAATAACAACAAGGAAAATTAAGAACAGAATCTGTTTAAGTTCTGCAATTCTTTTTTTTTTAGATGAACTGGATTGCACTGTGCATAGGATACAGATCATATGAAAAAGGGGCTGTTTTCCCCATTAAATAATCCAAATTCAGACTATATGGATTCTAGATGGGGACACACAAGAATAGAAGGAAGAAAAGTTACTGTATACAGTTCCATGAAATACTCTGACTATACACAAAACATATGGGCTTACTTTTTAGTAGCTTATGCTCTAGTTAATAGCACTTTGCTAGATGGTTTGAGAAAAAATGGTTACTGCATGGGTAATCATGAGCACTAGAGATAGTACAGCTCAACTACACCTGGCCTGAAATTTCCCTACTGAGCTGTCTTTCAAGCCAACACTGTACAGTTCGATACAAGCCCTGAGGATCTGACTGGACAAGCATCTAAATACTTCCACCATATTCATACATATACTATAAAAATAACTATACTTATTTGAATGTAGGCATTATTAGAATTTACCTTGATTTTTTTTTTTTTTTTAACAACCCATAAGAGGAATACAAGTTGTTAAAGGCAAACATCCAGAGAACATCTGCTTTACTGAAACAAAATATTAACAGATGCTGATAGATCTAAAAACAAAAACATTTAATTCTCAATTCCATCTTCTTACAGAATTTTACTGAAAAACAAGCAATTAAAAAGGAAGTCAGTTTGATCACTGCATCCAATATTTCCACTACTTAATTCAATGCGGTTCCTGGCCATCTATGAACAAAAATATTAAGTCACAACATTTATAATGTAGCAGCCCCTATTGACAGCTACACAGAATTCTGTTTGTACATTAAAAACAATTTTTAATATGACAAACTGTTACCAGCAGGAGAACTGCTTTCAGTGATGAACCCTTAAGCATGAAGCACTAGGCTAGCATCATTAAACACACTAATTTGATAAGACTCAGCATTTCTCCCCAGGAAAGTGAGCACAGTGCCTTCAAGAGAGCTACAAATCAAATAAAACTCATTCAAGCAATGAAGTTTAAGACAGGAGCTTTGACAGATAACCCCAAGATGATCTAAGAGGTTTCATTTAGCTTTAATGACTATTCTAATGAAAAGCTCTTCCCTAGTACAAAACAAAAAAGCTGACTTCAGTGTTTCTAAACCAGCAAGTAATAAACTGCAGATCAGGAGCAGTACCTTTTAAAAAGGTATTAACAGAACCTTCTGATCTGAAAATACATGGAAAAAGAAAATGCTTGGGAGGGGACAGCCAACAAGCTTTTACATACTGGCTGCTTGTTTATATACAGTCCAGACCAGTGATATTATGCTGTTGCTTCTAATACGTGTTCAGTAGGGTTTGAGAGATGAATTTGGGGCTAGCTCCCAATGGGTATGCCCATCATGCCATGAAAGGCGCCATCATAGTTACCGCTACAGCTGACAGTGAGACAGTCAGCCATATTAATCTAAAGTCAAATAGAAGCCAGGCTAGATTTGCACATTATAGACTAACCAAAATATGCACATATAATTAGGGACCTACCAAATTCGCAGCAGAAGGCAAAAACTGCTGTTTTAAATATCGTGCTCTCTTTGCATCCCGCTCCTGATTGACCAAAGGGCCTCTGACAGTCCTGTGGTCACTGACCAGAGAGTAAGCAAAAACAGCACCAAAAAACTGCAGTTTTCACTTTCCCACCGATCAAGAACAGATGGAGAGTGGGGAGCAGTGGGGCCCCTCCACCAATCAATGGAAGGCGGGGGGCACACGAGGGAACCTGCAAAATTAAAGGAGCCACTGGGCACCCCACTCTGCCGTGAATTCAGTAGGTCTCTATGTAAAATATTATTTAAAGCTGTGCACATTGGATACCCGACCATCTCTTTAAGCCCCTGGATACACCACGTACCAACTCAAGGATCGGTCTGCAGTCTTGTCATGAATACTGAGGCCGTGCCCAGCTCACAAGACCCGTAGGGACCTACTGAAGCTATATATATAGCACAAGTTTTTGTGGGCTTAACTCACTTCACCTACATGAAACCAGATGATGAAGTATGCATACACCTACCCCCAGGATGCCTTGAGATCCTTTCAAGAGCGCCACAAGCTGTCATGCAATGTTAGCACTGTTAAAATGATTCACAAGATAAACCAAGAGATTTTAAACAGGAATCTGTGGTGTCCAAAGCATTCTGCCCTGTTAGCCCGAGTTCTTGGCAGCAGAAGAATTGCACTATTATTTTTCTATCATCAAAAATAAATGAAAATTAAGTGCTAGCATTTTCTGAGGGGCGCCTCAAGTCTAGTAGTCTACATGTGCATGAAGGTGCTTTTCCTAACACACATTAAAATTGAATACCTCCAATATGAGGTACTGAACAAATGCGCATTAGGCTGCCTTAATGTACAGTAACGAGCGTACGTGGTTTTTAAGTGATGCTTAATGTGTAGTAGCCTATTTTACTGCATGTTAGCATAACTGCACAGTTTTCTTAGGTGACACTTTAATTCACAGTAAAATAGGCTACTGCGCATTAAAAAACGTGTAGATGCGCCCAAAGAGTTGAGAACAACTGTTCTAGACAGGTGCAAGTCTACGCAGCCCACTACTGGCTGTTTCAGCAAACGAACCAAGCAGTGACTAGGCCGCAGAAGATGACCTGTCCTCTCACTTCCAAGAAAGACCCTTGCCGGGCCACAGCTGAAGAGCGCTGGATAAGCAGAGACGCCTCGTACTCGAGCTGCGCACGCTGAATACGCGCCCGTGCCCCTGGACACGCCGCGTACCGACTCAAGGATTCGTCTGCAGTCTCGTCATAAACGCTGAGGCCGTGCCCAGCTCACAAGACCTGAGGCAGAACGGAGAATAGCAGGATACGGACTTGCCCAACTGTACTTAACAGATGCCAAGATATTCATCAGGACATCTTCTGACAGGTTAAATTTAGGAGGGACTAAAACGTGAAGACTGTTACCTCCGACAGCCGTTATACGCTTTTGTGCTACTGAGAGGTGCCAGCATGATCCTTGCGGAGGGCGAAGCCCTCTCTGCCCCAGAGGAACGGGCTCGGCAGCGAGAGCCCAGCGCAAGCCTCCCTCGCCCCCCGCAAAGGGCCTCCTCGAGGCTTTAAGGAGCAAATTCACTCCGCGTGGCCCTGCGGGTTTCTGGAGCTGCCAGCCTGTGGGCACGTCCCCGTCTGCTGCCACCTGCTCGGCGCTGGGCAAGACCACGCCGAGGCGGCTCGGCTGCCCTGCTGCTGGCAACCAGAGGGAGCAGGTGGCCAAGCCCCGGGGCCCCACCCAGGCTTCCCCGCAGCGCCTGCGGGAGCTGCCCGAGGGGGTCTGCGATGGGACGTCTCCCCTGCCCCCCGGGAGCAAGGAGGCCCGCCTCGGCCCTGCCCGGGAGCGGCCCGCCCCTCCAGCCTAAGCACACAGAGAGGACACCGGGGCCCCCGGGCCCACCCCATGCCCATGCCCATGCCCATGCCCATGCCCAGGCCCCCGGCCCCAGCGCCGGCGCCCCCCCCCCCCCCTTTCCGGCCCCCCCCAGCCTCAGCTCTCCCAATATGGCGGCCGCTCCCCCCACTGCCCGCGGCCCCGCCCCCAGCGCGGGGCATCACGGGAACCCCGCCCCCCTGGGCCCGTTCGAATCAATACAAGGAGGAAGGAAGGATGCGTCTGTTGCTGCGGTAACCGCTGCGGCCTGCCCGCGCCGCCTGGCCTGCGCTCGAGTTATGACGTCATGTTGTGACGAAATGGTGCAGTGGGCCGCGCTGACCTCACTGGCAGGGCCTGGTTCACCACACAGCGGGGGCAGGGGGCGCTGCGCTGCAGTGGCCCAGAACATGTGCGATCCCCCCACATCTTGACCCAGACTGGACTGGGGGGGCATGGGGCTGGGCCCCGCGCCCGGCTGCAAAGCTTTTTGCTACAGCCCAGTGGTGGCCTGTAGTCCTACGAAGACGCCTCTGGGCAGGGAGGTGTGTGGTGACCCAGTATGGTTCACGCAACAGATTTTATTACAAGTTTTCCAATATTTGATCTGATTCTTAAAGCCTCGGCTCCTGCAGTCAAGTGATTATACGAGACCCTCGGCTTTATTGGTTATAAAAAATAAGCCTCCTCCGATTGCTTCTGCGCAAAGAAAAGTGTGACCTGGGTGAAAGCTAAGGGCCCAAAAACCAAATGAAGGATTTTTAAAGAAGCCTGGGACCTTGCCTCCTAAACCTTGTCTGACTTGATCCCAAATGCATAGATGGTCTAATACAAAAGAAAGAAATCCTTGCCTCTTGCATAATTTCTGCACCATCACAGCTGCATCATCTGGATACAACCGTTTTTAAAGACGTTTACTTGATTTAAACGTAATCATGTGATTTGGGTGGAGTGACTGGAATGCTTGGGCGTGGCGACGTTTCGGATATTTCTGCCTTTTTTCCCTGTGGCAAAAAGTCCATTTAATACGTTCACAACACAATGAGAACACAAACTCCAATCTCTGTTCAAGTGCCTTATGACGATGAAGGATCATCTCATGACGTCCTGTGAAAAATGAAGGGTTGGCGTATGCCCCTTCAGTTCATGGCTTTGAACGTTGATTTGCCGTGGTTCTGGCTGCTGGGATCAAAGGCGAGTTCCCCTGAGAGCTTCGAATGAGATACGAATCGCAGGATTGCTGACACTCGCAACTTTATGGCAAGCCTAAGAGATTTTCATCTGCTTTCCATGATGCTTGCAGTCGTGGCAGGAATAGGCTACAACTCAGAAATATGAGTTTAGCTGACTTTAGTATAACCTGTAGCCAAGAGTTCAGCTTTCTGGGTAGGCAGCAGCTAGCTCACAATGACTCCAGTCTATAATTCTTCCAGCAGAAGGCGTGGTGCGATTTCGAGCCGTGGCTGTGAGGAATAGCACAGCAACTCCAGGCCCAGGTTTTGATGGCACTGGGAATGGAGCGTGTTAGTCATGGGGGAGCGCTCAGACACTCCCGGTAGTAAATGGGAGGACGAACAAGTGGTAGCAGCTCTCAGCTCCAGTATCAGTCTGTCTCAGCAGGAGTCCTTGCACAAATTCCAGGGCCAAGTACAGCTTCAGCTGGGATTACCAGCATTTCCTAACTATTAACTTAATAATGAATTTCCGGATCAAAATAGCCAGTGACCTGTTGTATCCAGGTAGTCCTTGGAGGGTTTGGTAAATGTTAAAGGAAATTAAATATTCCTTATATACAGATGATATATCTGTAACACCTAAGCACTTCTCTTTTAGAGTATCTGTCTTTGGTAGACAGACAGCCCACCATATTTTAGCAATACACTGAACAAGAAAAATGTTTTTGAAATTTTTTTGTGGAATCCTGGAGAAGTAGGGCGGGAAGGGACCTCAGGAAGGCTGCAAGTCAAACTCCCTGCTCAAAGCAGGATCATCCCTATCCAAACCATCATATACAAATGTTTGTCTAACTCAGGGGTCAGCAACCTATGACCTGTGTGCTGGATCCAACCTGCAGAGGTCTAATCCAGCCTGCAAACTCCAATTTGGTCCAGGGGATTGGTGGCACGGAGCTTTGCCATGCTGCCCAGGCCCTTTCTAGTGCTTTGCAGTGTCTGTACTTTCTTTGCTGTAGAGAGGTCAGGAATGTGCAGCAAAGGTGAGGCAGCTGTCAGCTGGAGGGGAGGGGAGAGGTGGAAGGAAGTGAGACTTCCGGCCTGCAGCCAGGGCCAGGTCACAAGCTCCAGCTGCATTGGGAAAAGGTGACCCCTGGTCTAACCCATTCTTAAACTGCATGAACAATCCTCTTACGCAACTGCCAAACACAATGCACCAAAAGACCTAATCTGCCACAAGTAAAGTGGGGGATGAAAGCAATGTTAATGTCCTGCCACTGCAAGGACATTGCTAGATCCAAGGAAGAGGGCTATGCCCCTACTAAAGAGGAAGACAAAACTCCCCACAGTCCATGCTGATCTGATCATGGGGTATATCTCAAAACCGTGGAGTATATCCCGATCCCAGATGTGGTGAACAATCTAACCCTGACTGGAGTAACAAGACCCTCTAGCCAGGAACCTCTGGATTTTGTAGTCCCAGTAGAAGCACTGGTACAACCCAGTCAAAGTCCTAGCCTTGGCTACAGCTGAACACCCAATGCTTCTGAGGAGGGAGGGGGAAATCCTGACATCAGTAGCAACAGGAAGGGGAAAAATTCCTTCCTGGCCCCACGTGGCAACCAGCAAAGCCCAGGAGCATGGGATAATAACCAGACACTTTCCACTCTGCACTACAGCCTGGGAAATGTGAACACAACTGCACACAACACACACCCTGACTACAGAGCCAGAACTCCCTATCATCTCATCCCCAGCTCCTTTAATCTTCTTTTGTGACCAGTCTGGTTGTGGAGCTCTTCTTCATTCACCCGATGCTGAGCCTGGCCCTTTCCAGTTTCCACCTGCTCTGGCCTGCAGAGCTTTTCTCACAATCTCCAAGCAGTGTGTATTTTGCTGGAGTTTCTTGAGCTTTCAACTATTGCTTTCACAACACACTCCAGGCTTTGCTTCTCCTAGATCATCCCTGACTAACACTTATCCAAGCTCTTCTAGAAAACCTCCAGTGAAGGAGATTATATAACTTCCTTGTGCAGTCTATTCCACTGACTTGACAGTGAAGAAGTTTTTCCCAATGTCCAATCTAAGTGTACCGTACTGCAATTTCAAGCCACTGGTGTGTGTCCTACTCAGCAACAATGGAGAAAAGGTGCTTTCCCTCTTCTTTATGGTAGCCCTTCAGAGATTTGAAGATTGGTATCATATCCCCTCTTAATCACATTTCCACAAGTTGAACAGGCTTATTTCTTTGGACCGCTCCTCATATGACTTGCATTCCAAGCACTTCATCATTTTGTTGCCTGCCTTTGAACCTGCTCTAATTTTTCCGTGTTGTTATTAAAATGTGGAGTCCAAAGCTGTTTTGTTTTATTCCTTTTTACTGCTGTAATGCCATAAACTATAGCAATATGGTTTCCATATTTCTAACAATGCCCAATCTCCTGTGATTAATCAGGTCCTTGACTCAACTCTGTCGGGATGCCTATTAACAATCAACCACATAGTCAAGAGCGAGGGTAAGAAAGCTGAGTTATTCATTTTAAAAAATAACCAATTTAGAACCAGTTATGTAACTGCATAATCTTATTGCCACAGTGCTCAATCCTGACCTTTCCCAAATGTTGGGTGAGCTGGGGAGGAGCAGTTTGATACCTGAGCTCCAAGAAGAGACCAGGGTCTAGATTCTGTGCAGGTTAGGAGATTGGTGATAATCAGAATCAGGGTTCTGTAGACAGGTTTTGGGAGGAGGATCTGCCCCTGAGTTTTCAATTTGAGTTTTCAATCTGATCAGATTGAAAGGAATTGTAAGCTGAATTCTGGGTTTGACTCAAAGGGGAATTGAAGACAGAGTTCTGGGTGCAGGTCAGGATAGGGGGAGTGTCTGAGCTCTGGCTACTAGGACCGTGGAGAGAATTGGAATTTGAGTTCTGATCACAGTTTGTTCCCGCTTCCCCTCATCCTGCCTTCTCAGATCCCCTTGAGTTGCCCCTAATGCCAGCTGGCTACCTGGATGTCCTGTATATAATTGAAAACAAAAGCAAGTGAGCTAAGCAATTAAACTCAGGATACCCCACATTTGCCAGCCACTAATTCCTCCTTTTTATGAGTCAGCCCCTTGGAGAAGGAGGTTACAAGGGGAAGCTCTGA